ACTAGCACAGCAAAGCTACCAGAATCAGAAATCAAAAGAAGATCATTAAAAACTCTTAAAAGAGCAGTTTTTGAGCTGTGACAGGATTTAAAACCAGACTGGAATTTTTCACTGATATTATTAGAATTTAGGTGTAATTGAAGTTGGGCATATACCACTTTTTCTAAGACCTTTGATAGAAAAGGCAACTTAAAAACTGGCCAGTAGTTAGACAAATCAGAAGGGTCCAAATTGTGTTTTTTCAAGAGAGCTTGTACAATAGCCTTTTTAAAAGCTCTTGGAACATACCCAGCTGAAAGAGACATATTTATCAAGTTTAAGGTAAAAGGTCCAGCCGTGTCAAACGAATCTTTGAACAGCTTGGCGGGCAGGCTGTCCAAGGAGAAGACCGAAAGTCTTAAACATTGAACCGTCTTTGGCAAATCAGAAAAAAGATATTGGGATAAAATCTTCAAAGACAGCTGTGCATAAAGGTATAATGCTTGGATCAGGCACAACACAATGGGTTAATGCCCAGATACTGAGCACTTTGTCAGTGAAAAATTTAATCTATCACATAGAAAGGGCACTAGGAATAATACCAGTGTGTTCAGGAGGATTAATTATCCTATTTAAAACATTAAAAAGGACGTAAGGTTTTTAATGTCCTTGGTGCAAACAAGTTGGTGCAAACCAACTTGTAACAGTTGGTTTGCACAAGGTTTGACATATACCAAGTCTTTGCAGCTTTAACAGCATCCTGGTAAATGGACAAGCAGTCTCTTAAATAGACCAAAGTTACATGCAGATTATCTGAGAGCGCGAGTAGTGTTGTTGTGCCATGGTTCTCTGTTTAGGTTGGAACTATTGTGCATAAATAGTGGTATTACTTCGAGAATTTCAGTGCACGTAGAGTCGAATGAAGTAACCATCTCATCAATGTCCAAATTTGAAGAAAAAAACTAATCCAAAGGTATTAAAGGAGAAATGTCAAACGCTGCAGCAAAAAGTGGAGCCGTAGATTGATTTATCACGTGTCGCTGACGCATAGGGAGGCACGTTGTTTTTGAGAGCACAGCAAAGAAACAGAAAACAAAACGGGTATATGATCAGAAATGCCTGCATCAGAAATGTCCTTTATGGAGAGATTTAGGCCATGAGAAAAGACCAAGTCCAAAGAATGCCTTTTGTTATGGGTCAGGCAATTCACCGATTGAAAGATTCTAAAATATTTAAAAATTCCTTGACCAACGGCTTAGAAACACAACAAACATGAATATTAAAATCACCAAAAATTAAAAAATGTAATTAAAAAATGAAAAAAAATTATAATTAACAGCAATGCTAGCCACAAACGTCGAAAAGTCCTTAATAAAATTCTTATTAAATTTTGGAGTGTGATAAACAAGTGCATATAAACACTGATAAGTTGAGATTAATTTAGAAAAGTTGCAGCTTGTTCGCATGGGAATTTATTACAGTTAAGACTGGTTTTAAAAATTGTCGCTAATCCTCCGCCTTTTCCCGTGGATCGAGGAGAGTCAAAAAAACGAACATGCCGAAGGAAGAAGCTCTGAGAAGCTCAATCACCGGGTTGAACCCACGTCTCTGACGGAAGCATAAAATCAAGCCCCCTGGACAAAAGTAAGTAATTCAACAAACGTCTTATTAGTCAAGGATCTAACGTTGATCAGTGGCAACTGAAGAACAGTATCCTCCGTACATAGAGGATTGGCTTGAGTCAGTTATTGGAGATTCGATTGGTCCAAACCGCGTTCGGTCACTCGCAGATGCCGGGGACGGCGAGGAACATATGAAGAGCTCTTTTCCAAAACGCTATAAATCCATTTCAATAGTTTTCAGGAAAACTACATTTTTTACCTAGACCCACACATTTTGTGAATATTCAAATTATCCTGTTTAAATGTTTTATTGGTTCAGTCTGAACATTTTGAACAATAATTATTAAATCAAACAACAATATTGTTAATGATAATTTAAAAGTTAATTTTATTTTTTCCCAAAACGCTATAAATCCATCCATTTTTTGTATCATTTTTAGTAAAGTCATTTTTAGTAAAAAGTCAAACCTCAAACAAATAGTACCAATTTCAACATATGCATGAAAAAAAAAACGAATTATTAAAAATGATCAATATATGATAACGATATTCAAAAAAGGGATGGGCACCCCTCCAGCACATGCACACACACACAGGCTACATAACATGTGAGCAAAGCGGAGCAGCATGACGCTTAAATATAAGTAAAAAAAAACAAAAAAAAACAAAATAAACATAAAATATACGTTTCACATTTGTTTTTAATAATATTACATTATTTATTTTTATTATTTCATCTATGTTGAGTAGGCTATGAAAAGGGAACCGCATGAGATGAGTAAGATAGGATCAAAATTCAAAAGCTGCCCAATATCGGAAAATATTTGGAGTGCGTCAGACATGATTTTGACCACTTATTAAGTTTTGTTTTGTAGAAAGCTTTTAAATTTCGTTTTATATAAATTGTATCTTCATTTTAATAAATGTTTCAACAAATTGACTGGATTAATACATTAGAAGTAAATATCAGACAATATAATCAGGACACAGAGGCGCGCAGGTGAACCGGAGCGCGTCTCATAATATGAACCGAAACACCGCGATGCTTGCCTCACACAGGCCTGAGAACTAAGCTACAGAAAGCTTTAAATATCTACTTTTAAACAAAACAATTAAAAACTAAAATAAATTGGCAACTCTCTGCGTATGTAGGCTAATTCGAAGTATGCGTTTCTATAGGCCTATGCGCGTTCACTGCGAAGATGGCGAGTAAGCATCATCAACTTTATCTTTGTTGCTGACACTGACAGAAAACACTAGTTTATTAATAAACAATTCAAATGTTTCATGCATAATCATTACTTTTTGCCGGTTCTTTGTGGCAAGCTTTATGCATACGTTGAAATGCGGAATAGGCAATTAAAAACGCTCATATGGTTTCTCTCCCATTTAATTAAATCAATATATGTGATTACTGATAATACAAATGGCTTAAATTATCTACTACTAGTCGACTAGAAAACTAGGACTCATTTTGAGGAATGAATGAACATAATAAACCTCTGTTCAGAGTGCCGCCGTGCTGGATTGTGTAGAGCGCTCATTGAATTTGAGGATTTATCGTGTTTAGGCTAAAAACAGGGCTGGCGCTTATCGCGGCTTGGAAAGAAACTGTATCTTGCAGTACATTTTAAACAAGGAAATATAGCGATTTGGCATGAAACGTTGATGGAGCAGTGAAAGGGTTCTGTCCACAGCAGAATGACACGACAAACTCATTTTTTTTTAAAAATGGCGTTTATCGCTTTTTGGAAAAGAGCTCTTCATATTCTTTCGCCAGTGCAGGCTGCCGGTTCACAGCGACACCAGCTCCGAGTTGGATCGGGCGGAGACACCACATCCTGAAGTCCGAGGGAAGTAGCGAAAGACAATTGTGTTGCAGTCCCGAACCGTTTCTCCATGCCGACCGCAGCTATGCTCTCACTCTTACCACCACGTTTTCTCCGTCTTCTGGAGTGTTTCCTCTGCGGGGCAACATTAGGTGTACATTGCAGGTCTACCAGCAGAGCTAAGAATGGAGGAAAGGGTGTATCCGAAGACTGTTTCCTGTGATTGACACTTTAGAAATAAAGCATGTTGGTCTCGAACAGAAAGAAGTGTCTGGCGATCGTATACAAACAGAGCTGAGACATTTTGATAACTTCAGCAATAATAAAAACAAACAATAAGCCTGAAAAGGGCAGGGAGACGCTGCACCGTGCACACTGCTGGCGCCATCTCAATGTTAAATCAACACAATCAGAGTTAAATAAAAAAATGTCCTGGCTCTTCCAAGATTTATAATGAGAGTGAATGGGTATATTTTTTGGAAGTCTATCAAAGTGCATCCTTCCATGATAAAAGTCCTCCACATAGCTCTGGCGGGTTAAAGGCCTTTTGAAGTGAAGCGATACGATCGTGTAAAAAAAATCATCCATATTTAAAAATTTATCGACTAAAATAACTAGCTTTCGGCAGATGGCTGCTGCATGTGAATAAATGTGGTAACTAATGGAGATATGTGAAATATATTTTTTCCCAATATTGTCGATGATCGTCTGGTAACCGAGTGTTATAATCAAAATCGCGATACTTGCCAGACATCGATGATATATGATAATATCGCCCAGCCCTAATTCCATGGTAACGAGTGATGTCAAGCCCGAGGCCAGGACAGTGCGGAGGACAGTGCAAAAACAGTGCAGGTTGAGTGGAGGTGGAGGTTCCTTTCTTCCCCATTCTGATGCTCAGCTTGAACTAGATTATCTCAACCATATCTACATGCATTAAATTGCTGCCCTGTGATTGACTGATTAGATATTTGTGTTAACTAGTTGAACATGTGCACTTAATAAAGTGATCGGTGAGTGTATATTGTTCTCATAAAGCCGGACAACTTTCTAAATTAATCATTAGCTCTGCCCAACAGAATTTTGCCATTTTGGATGTTTTAAATATTGCTGACAGAATTTTAAATATTCCTCCAATTGTTTCCATGCAATTCTCACCAAACAAGGTCAACAATATGCCCAAAATTCTGATTGGTTGAGACACATTCTGAATAAACCATTAAACAAAACTGTTAATTTACTAAGACACGTAACTGCACATTAAATTAATTCTATACATGGCAAGCAGTGACAATGCTCTGAGTTATGCCTTATAATATCCCTAAACAACAACATTGGCTCTTAAATTCCTCATTTAAAAAAGAAAATGTTTTACACCAAACAAAAAAACAGTTTCAGGACAGGGGCTTGGGAAGATGTTTTAGGTGTTTATTACAACTAAATTACTAAATGCTTAATGAATAAATAAAAAAGAACAAAATTTTGCGTTACATTTACAATCCTGTGAAAACACTGCCCGTGCCCCTTTTTCTGGATTTTCATACAGTGAGTGCTATGGATATATACTCACAGGCGTCCCCAGTTTGGTTTGAGATGATAGTTTCTTTTTCATGGCTTTCTCATCAAAGGTGGCACTTCTCTTCACATACACACTCCCATGCTGTGAATGACAAAAATTATGTAGCCAGAAACACACAACCGGTCTTATTCATAAAACACAAGAGTAATGAAAAATGTTTTTTAAAACCATTCAATTCAATACTTTTTTATTTAAGAATGCATTTTTGCAATATTTACATAAAAACGTATGTGCGTTTTATGAATAAGAGATAGTTTCCTTGAATTAGATGTGTACTCTACCTGTGAGAAATACCATCCATACAAAGGAAGCCACTTCAGACCATCTTTCAGGACATATCTTACGTGTCCAAGTGCATTTTGTCGAATGGCTAACATGTCAGCAATAATCCAATCAGCTAAAATAGAGAGCACAACCCTTACAAATGGTACAGCTCTGTCAGAAAAAAATGTTACACAGATATACATACCGTAGTACTTAACAATCGACATAGGTATATTAAAAAAAACATGGTTCCTTTTTTGAGAGCGGTAACTCTGCATTGCGTAGCAACTCTGCGGAAACTCCTCCCTTCTCCACTTTTGTTGAAATCTTATTGGCTAACACCAGCTCGGAACAGCTGGCCAATTGCCACAAAGTATGCAAATACTGACAGGCTCGTGGGCAGTATAAAATGCACAGACACGAAATTGCGTCAGAATCTCTTTCTTCACACTGCAATAATGGAAGCTGCACCAGGAGGACTAGTAACCTTTTTCTGTAAGCATCTGATGGCTTCAACTTGCCAGATTTGTGCAGGCCCCATCGAACCACCTGAACATGAGTTATGCATCGTCTGCCTGGACCAGGAGGGATATGGTTCGTGCTAGAACAGGGACAAGGCCCACTGCCGCCCGCGAGCAGCTGGTGAGACCCCCCGGCTGGATGCGAAGATGATGACAGGGCCTGGAGCCACAGTCATTGCGCTCACCTGTCCTCTCCGTGGATCCAAGTTTTCGCACCCCAATCGGCGCACACCCACTCTGCCACGGAGACTGTGTTTGCCCACATGGATGGGGCGGAAGCAGGTGCAGGTGTTTCAAGACAAAATTCTGCAGTCCCTGGATAGTGGTGTTGTGGACGCTGACGTCATCAAGGATCTGCACGCGGCATCAAAACTCTCGCTTAGAAGAGAATAGAATTCAATTTAATTTATTGTCATTGCATGTCACAAGTACAAGCAATGAAATACAATTGCATCCATCCAGAAGTGCTTTAGCAAGAATATATTACAAGCTATGTACATGCTATGAAAAGTTTATACGTAAATGATTAAAAATATAAATATAAAGGCTATGACAAACTATAAATATACAATATGCAAGTATTAATATTAATAAACAGCTGTAAAACTATAATTATTGTATTATACAGCGTGATGTCTATACAGTAGTGCAGTTAAAAAAGTTGGTGAGATATATGGATACAGTAGTGATATATGTTCAATCCATAAGTTTTAATGGGGGTGAGATGTCAGGAGGCAGAATTCAGGAGTCTGACAGCTTTAGGAAAGAAGCTGTTCTGGTACCTGGTGGTCTTAGTCCGGAGGCTCCAGTAGCGCCTCCCAGAGGGCAGGAGGGTGAAGAATCTGTGTGCTGGGTGACTGGGGTCTTTGATAATTTTCCCAGCCCTTTTCAGACACGTTTCCTGTAGAGGTCCTCTATAGAAGGCAGTGATGCTCCGGCAATTCGCTGAGCGGCTTTCACCACCCTCTGCAACGCCTTCCGGTCCGAAGCAGAGCAACTCCCATACCAAACTGTTATACAGTTGGTCAGGATGCTCTCGATGGTACAACAGTGGAAGTTCACGAGGATGTCTGAGGACAGGTGGTTCTTTCTCAGAGTGCTCAAAAAGAAGATGGGTAGGTGTGGGCTAGCATTCCTCCTGAAGTCCACAATGAGCTCTTTGGTCTTCTGAGTATAGAGGAGCAGGTTGTTGGTGTCGCACCACTCAGCCAGACGAACCACTTCCTCCCTATAGGCGGCCTCGTTGCTGTCTTTGATGAGGCCGATCACCGTGGTGTCATCTGCAAACTTAATGATGTTATTTGAACAGTTGACAGGTCTGCAGTCATAGGTGAGGAGGGAGTAGAGGAAGGGACTCATCACACAGCCTTGTGGTACTCCGGTGTTCATTGTGATGATGGATGAGCGTTGGTTATCCAGCTGGACATGTTGGGGCCGGCTGGTCAGGAAGTCCAGTAACTAGTTACACATGAGGGAACTGCTATCTAGGTCTGTAAGTTTCCTGATGAGTTGTGAGGGGATTATTGTATTAAATGCTGAACTGAAGTCTATAAACAGCATTCTGGCATAGGTGTTTTTATTGTCCAGGTGTGAGAGGACAGAGTGCAGCGCTATGGAGACTGCGTCCTCTGTGCTCCTGTTCTCGATGCAATCTCTTTCTCTGAATCGATGCAAATCGGTAGGGTTCCAGGGTGGGGGGGAGACAGGATTTGAGGTGTACTAGGATCAGCTGCTCTAAGCACTTAGTGATGATTGGGGTGAGGACTACCGGGCGGTAGTTGTTAAGGTTGATGGGTTGGAGTTCTTGGGTATCGGAACGATGGAGGTGGATTTGAAGCAGGCTGGTACCACAGCATGGGCCAAGGATAGATTAAATATGTCCGTCAGCACCCCTGCCAGCTCCCCAGAACACACTCTAAGAACACGCCCAGGGATGCCGTCAGGACCTGGAGCCTTGTGGACATTAATCCTGCTCAGCACCGCTCCTACATCAGTGGGGGAGAGAGTCAGAGGTCGATGTTCGGAAGTCACCACTGCCTTAGTCACAGTTGTTGAGTTCCCCCGCTCAAAAACGAGCAAAAATGAGTCCTTGCGACATACGTCGGGGGTTGGAGTTGGAGAAGTGTTTTTCTACATTCCCTTTTTAGTGGTGTTTGGCATTTTTGATGCCCCTCTTCAGCTTAGCCCTGGCTGTACTGTAGGCCTGTGCATCCCCTGACCTGAAGGCAGTATTACGGGCCTTCAAGAGGAGACAGACATCCCGGTTCATCCAAGGCTTCTGGTTGGGGTACATGATAATCTGTTTCTGGGTGGTGACAATGTGTGTAGTCATGGAGATGTGGTCCAGTACAGATGTGGCGTACTGGTTCAAGTCTGTATGTGTGAACATATTCCAGTCTGTGTTTTTGAACCGATCCTGGAGCACAGCGTCTGTCCCCTCTGGCCAAACTTTTATCGTCCTCACGGTGGGTTTCACACGTTGGATGAGGGGTGAGTACCGTGGTGTGAGGAACAGGGAGAGATGGTCCGATTGTCCAATGTGGGGGAGTGATATTGCTTTGTACGCTCCAGAAATGTTAGAATAAACATGGTCCAAAATCTTGTCCCCTCGGGTGTGACAGGAGACATGTTGGTGAAATCTGGGGAGGACTGTCTTTAGATTGGAGTGGTTGAAGTCACCAGCAACAATAAAGGCAGCCTCAGGATGTTTAGTCTGATGTTTGCTAATGGCTGCATAAAGATCTTTAATTGCCAGCTTAGCATTTGCATCTGGGGGGATAAACACTGCAGTGAATATTATGGAAGTAAATTCTCTGGGGAGATAATAAGGTCTGCATTTGACCGTTAAAAACTCCACATTAGGTGAGCAGTGACTCTCGGTTGTAGCAGAGTTCGTGCACCAAGCATTGTTAATATAAATGCACAAACCTCCACCTTTGGTCTTGCCGGAGTCATCTGCTATCCTGTCGGCTCGATGTATGTGGCGTCCTGCTAACTCAATAGCATTTCCCGGGCAGCTGTTGTTTAGCCATGTTTCGGTGAAAATCATGATATTAGAATCCATAATCCATCTGTTATTGGTAAAGGAGAGCCGGATTTCATCCATCTTGTTTGCCAGAGAACGGCCATTTGCGAGTAGAATGCTTGGTAAAGGGAGGGAGTGGTGTTAGCTTTAGCTTAGCTCGTAGCCCTCCGCGCCTACCCCGCCTTTGTTTACGTTCTCTGCGCCGTCTGCGTGCACTTCCGCCCGGCCGGGAAAAGTGAGCAGCCTCCGATGTTCTAGAGATCTCTGGGATGAGTCGGAGATCGGCGATAAAACTATTGGAGTTTTGAGTCCAAATATCCAAAAGCTCCTGTCTGCTGTAAGACATAAACGCACAGCTATTTGGGATGAATAATCCAGTCAAGAGTAGGTAAAAAAATGCTAAATAGCATAATCTGGAGAGACGCTGAGCCTCGCGTTGTTCACGCGCCGCCACTGCCGCCATGTTTACCGATGTTTAACAATGTTAATGTCTGGAGAAGCCTATGGTGACACCAAGCACTCCACCCAGGCCATCCGCCTCTTCATGGGTTTGATGATCGTCCTTAAAGGGTCATTAAACCCCCCTCTTTCAGCTCAAGTCTAGCGCAAAATCTTTTTGAAAAATGCAACTTAAATGGGCGTGGATAGCTGTGAGAAGAAGGGAGGGAGTGTGTGTGGTATAGAGAGCCTAAGTCCCGCCCCTCCGCTTCCGGCTCATGGGACCTTATTTCGGAAAAAATATGAATGGTAGTCAATGGCGAGAGACAACTTATCTTTTTATTCCGTTTGAACAGTGCCCTCAATTACACATATGATGTTTGTCAATTTAAAAGATAATTCTGAAAGACAAAAACGTCGCAGTTTGTCATACAACAGAAGAGTTACATTTAGTTTTATGTGAAAATCACTCTGTGAACTACATCTCCCGGGAAGCGAAACGAGATCCGCTGCTCGTGTGTGTGCAGTCTGGTACAAAACACTCAGGTAGGACGGCGTAATGTTACGATTATAACGCAAGACTGTATGAAATAATGACAGACAGCCTCAGTAAAAGTTAGCTTCATTCATTGAGAGAAAATGTGCCCCTTTGGGGTTTGTAGTCTTTGTAAATACGTATTTTCACAGTCTTATACCTCAACGGGTCAAACTGCAACTACATCAAACTGCGACTTTCTTTACTTTAAAATGTATCTTTTAAATTGACAAACATCATATGTGTAATTCAGGGCACAATTCAAACGAGATCAAAATATTTGTTGTCTCTCGCCATTGACTACCATTCAATATTTTTCCGAAATAAGGTCCCATGGTGGTCGCCTGGAAGGGGAAGGACTTAGGCTCTCTATGGCCATCACGTCAATGTTCCATGCATATCGACTGTCACTAAAAAGCAATGGTAAAACGTGAGCAAATGCTAGATTTTTATATATAGCTGGCAAAGTTAAAGTCTTATGAAATACACTGACACTTTATTATTGTCCTTTCAAAAGTAACTGAATGTCCTGCTACATATATTAGCCTACAGTAATCGTAATTCTATTTAAAACATATTAATGTAGGCTACATGTATAATTATAATCTCATTATAAAATATATAGTGGTTTATAAAGACACTATAAATACATTTCAGAAAAAAATGATTAATTTTCCGCTTAAAAAAAATCATTCCGTGCATAGTCTACGCGCCCTCTGAACCCTCATAATAAAGATGGCTCTGCGGAGGTGGATGAATTCTCATTTTAGACACACACACACACACCTCTGAAGGGATAGAAAGTCCTCGGGATACTGCATCACTCGCAAGACGCACTTGGATTAGTTGTCAACAAGGCGAAGTCCACCATTCTCCACTTCTCGCAGCTCTCTCGAGAAAATGTTCGCGGCACACACTATAGTTTAGATCATCTTTAGATGTGTCCGTGGTTGATGGCAAACCAACCGTCCAGAGCCAGAGTCTAGCCCTGGCAGCATCGCGGGGAACATATTCAACGCACTTGGACTTTGCACCATGAAAGTGAGGAGATTGTGTCCTTAATGGACACCATCTGTGCCAGTGTGGGATCTGGCTCTAGTTTTGAGGGCTCACCGTTCAAGCCCCTAGCTTTGATTGCTGTTAAGGAGCTCTCCCCGAAAACACCTCTGTGAAGTGCATTGGAGACTTACACACATTCTCGGTGAACGACGATTTCAGACCTGGTGACTGCAAGCGTCACTCTTCAGTCAAGACAGGGCAACGTGCATAAGTCAGTGAGTCCCTCTCTAAACCTCTTCAAAACACAGGTTGTTTCCATGCCCACTTTATCTTCTGAGCAGTCATCCTCATGTGACTCAGAGCGCTGTTTGCCCTGGGCTTTGCGGATGTATGTGAATCGCTCGGCCGCCTTTCTTCAGCCGGACCAGCTTTTTGTGTGCTTTTGTGGATGTACTAACCGACGTGCTGTCTTAAAACAGGGACTTTCTCACTGCTACCACCGTTGACACAATTTAACCTTCACACTTGGAGTGCTTATTGTGTTGTGTCTGCCCTGGATCAGTGCAGTCTTAAATTTCATTGTGTTTGGATTTGCAAATTTGGATAGGGTCGGTGCTGAGGTCTCATTGGTCTAGTTCTGTCCATCAGATGCGAGCACTCCAAGCAGTGTGGCTACTGGCTGACTATTTGTCTCTTCCTTGGTTGGAGTACCTTGACCCCATTTCTCAAGGCTTAACTTCACTACTCACAGCGGGATTTAATACAGTTCTCACAGCGTTGCTATGCAATGTAGAGTTAGGCCAAACCGCTCTCAAAATGGAATGTCTCTAGTTACTTTGGTAACCTCGGTTCCCTGAGAGGCAGGAACGAGACATTACGTTAACCACCGTGCTCGCTGTGTGATCAGCTGTGCAAGCGTTCAGTCGTGGTTGACTATTGTCACGTCTATGGATTTTATACTGCCCGTGAGCCTGTCAGTATTTGCATACTTAACAATTGGCCAGCTGTTCCAACAAAGTTCCCACAACGTTGCTACCCAATGTCTCGTTCTCGCCTCTCAGGGAAATGAGATTACGATAGTAACCGAGATGTTTCGCTAATTTATGAATCAAAGATTTTGTAATGTTTATAAATAAGATCATGTATTGACTGCAAAACAGAAACTTACCTGTGGATTGGTGGTTTGACAGATAAACCACATTTTCCTTCTTTGGTATATTCCCATAAATGACAATCTGGAAAGAGATTTACATGAACACAATACATTAAAAAAAACAAAGCAAAGGTATAGTTAGAATGAACCTGGCAACATTAGCGTATGAAAAAAAGGCCATCTTGATTCTAACATAATGGTGGATGGAAAATTGTCTTTTGTTCAACTACATATAGTGAAAAATCACAAGCAAGAGTGGGATATTGCTCTATATCAGCACGACTGTGGCTTGGCCGTAGATACGAGGCCGCAGGCCATGATCCATGGTATATTTATTTAAACAGATGGTGAATATCAAATGCAGACATACAGAACATACAGATGGTAACATACAAATGTCCACATTTAAGCATTTCAATGGGCTTAACAACACCTTAACCAGTACTCCCCACAAGCCAAAAATGACATATCCAAGAAGACGACCCAGAACTGCTGAACAGACTAGGGCTGTAGCAGGGATGGAATTTCCCTTGTGGTGATTCGGAGTTACTCAATATCACAATATGCAATATTATTGCCATTAAAAAAAAAAAAAAAAAATGGTTCACATTTTCTACAAGTTCTACGATATGGTCAGAAACCACAAAGATGGAAAATGACTTTTGTAATTTTAACAGATAAATTGTATTAAATAATTACATTACATTAACAATATTTAATTTATACGGTGCAGACTAAGCTGTGTTATTTTGCATTTTATTATTTACAGTCTGTACCTGACAACTGCCATAGCAGTTAATTTAAATAATTTATAAGTCATGACTTGAATAATTTAATTCACGACTTTTCTCTCTCTCTCTCTCTCTCTCTGCCATTTTAGAATTACACTTCACTGGAGCCTACACAAACATTATATATGCATTTTGATGACATTATTATTATTATTATTATTATTATTATTTTGTGTAGGACCCAGACATTTAGATGTTGTAATTCCACGATATGTTGCTGTTATGTTCCGCTTGACGGCCCTGTCATCTAACAACCAATCACTGTGATCATTGCGAGGAAGCTCGTGCATGAGAATTGACGTCATCCATAGCAACAAAAACTCATTCTTAGTTTAGGAGTTGTCATTTTTCCTTAATAAGAGTAGTTCTGAAAGGCTTTGTGAATAACTTTTAAGAGAAAACTCCTAGCTATAATATTTTAGTGCGATTTAGGAGTACTCCTAGTGGTAAGATAAAATTATTTGTGAATACGGCCCCTGGTGAATGGTTTTCATATCGCAATATATATTGCAGGAAAACTAAATACTGCAACGTCAGTTATTTACAATATTGTGCAGCCCTAAATAGGCAGTGGGTTTAATAAGTGACATTATTAAAAGATTTGCGTTCCATCATCTTATTGTCACCCTCTCAACCTGAGAAGAAAAGGCAGCTTTTGCGATTTCATAATCACAATAAGCCAAATCAGCTTAAGTGACTTCATGTAAATTGCGATTAATCTTGCAGCCCTACTCTGAATATATATTATGAATAGGCCTATATATTTATAAGCCTAAATATATAATCATAACTCTAAATATATACAGTGCATCCGGAAAGGATTCACAGCGCTTTACTTTTTTCACCTTTTGTTATGTTACAGACTTATTCCAAAAGTATTCACAGCCTTTCCTCAATACTTTGTTGAAGCACCGTTGGCACTAATTACAGCCCAAAGTCTATTTGAGTATGATGCTGCAAGCTTGGCACACATATTTTTGGGCAGTTCCTCCCAATCTTCTTTGCAGAACCTCTCAAGCTCCATCAGGTTGGAAAGGGAGCGTCGGTGCACAGCCATTTTCAGACCTCTGGGCTCTGGCTGGGCCACTCAAAGACATTCACCGAGTTGTCCCATAGCCACTCCTTTGTTATCTTGGCTGTGTGCTTAGGGTTGTTGTCCTGTTGGAAGATGAACCGCCATGTCAATCTCAGATCCAGAGTGCTCTCAGTCTCCCACTTCCTGCTGTTGAAAAACATGCCCACAGCAAGATGCTTGCCATTCAGGCCAAAGAGTTCAATCTTTGTTTAAAGGGTACATATCATGCTTGTGCAGGACTGCATTTGTTTAGAATTTTTAAGGGTTTTTTTTCATTTTGAACATGTTTATTTTAGTGAGGACTTTAATTTTGAAAAGCAGTCACATACAACCCCTTAGTACAGGAAACAGGAAGTACTAATAGTACTGCAGTAGTTAAGCGAAATGTGATCGCTGTTTGATCCTTAAGCATCATCTTTCTTTGCATCTGTTAGACGCAATGTCTGTAAGTACACAATGTTAAATTTATTGTGTGATACATATGAGAAGGTTATTTGATATTAAGATGTATATTTTCTTAGTTTAATTATCCCTATGTTATTGTCAATCTGTAATTTTCTAATTTCTTATATAGTGATTGTATCTTTTGTATATTTTTACAGTTTCACAGTTGAGTCATAAACTTCAGAAACGACGTGAAGTGTCCAGCGAGGTTTTTGAGTCACTGTTTAACTTACTGGATAGTTAGATGCCAGATGATCTTGTGGAATCAAGATTTGAACATTACAAAATCTCTATCACATCAATCTGATTTTTCTGCATATGATTAAGTCTCAAAAAAACATGGCAGAAGGTCAGACAGACTCGGCAGATTTGAAAAGCACAGCTGAAGATGTTCACTCTGTCAGCGCACACTCCTCAAAAGCATCCAGTCGTTCTTCTAGGGCATCCAGTCGCCACTCAAGCGCCAGCATAGCAGTTTTCAAAGCAAGAGCAAAAGCAGAAGCCGCGCAAGCCAGAGCAGCATATGCTAAAAGAGAAATAGAATTGAAAGTCGAACAGGCACGACTTCAAGCAACACTGGAGGCTTTGCAAGAGGAAAAAGAAAAGGACGCGGCCTTGGTAGAAGCTCAGGTACTGGAGGAAGCATTGTTAGAAACAGAACGTAGCGCAGCCAGCAGAGTATCATTTCCTGTTCCCATCGAGGACAGTCGAATCAGAACAGCAGATTATGTGAAAACGCAATCTGAAATCAGTAGTGGTACACTGCCATCTAGTGGAGGAAACGAAACTCAACCACCACTTCAAGCATCGCACCTTGTAAGTCCAATTAAAAGTGAGTCAGATTTCAAAAATGTACCTATCAGTTCACAAAACATGGACTTTGGAGCAGACATGAATCAAAATGCCACTAAAATGCAGTATCCTCCTGATCACTACCAAATGCAGAGTAGACCTGCTGATAAAGAAGATTCCTTGTCTGTTACCTACGACCTCGCAAAGTATCTAGCTCGAACGCAACTTGTGACGGCAGGGCTTACTTACTTTGATGACAAGCCCATTAATTACTGGGCATGGAAATCATCTTTCCAAGGTGCTATTTCTGGTCTGGGTCTTTCTCCAGCAGAAGAACTTGATCTGTTAATTAAATACCTGGGTAGAGAATCTTCTGAACATGCTCAGAGACTGAAAGCGGTTCGCATCAGAAATCCGTCAGCTGCGCTGATAATGACATGGCAGAGGCTTGAAGAAATATATGGTTCTCCAGAAGCAATTGAACATGCTCTTTTTGCCAAACTAGAAGACTTCCCCAGAGTGACAAACAAGGACCCACAAAAGCTTCGAGATTTAGGAGACATCCTCTCAGAACTAGAAGCTGCTAAGCTTGAAGGATACTTACCAGGTCTGGCATACTTGGACACTTCTAAGGGAGTGAATCCCATTGTGGAAAAACTTCCATATAACATTCAAGAAAAGTGGATGTCATTTGGATCCAAGTATAAGCAAGAACATCATGTTGCTTTTCCACCCTTCTCCGTGTTTGCAAATTTTGTTCGCTCAGAAGCAAAAGCACGTACAGATCCGAGTTTCAGTACGTTTCCTCATGTGAAACACGAGAAAGGAGAAAGGTTTGAGAGACTCACAAGACTCAAATTAATCCTTCAACTAGAATACCATCTGGACAGGAAAAGAGATCAGTGAGCCCGAACAAAAGCTGTCCAATACATGGAAAACCTCATCCTTTGAGAAGATGCAGAGGGTTCAGAGAGAAACCTCTACAAGATAGAATGCAGTTCCTGAAAGAGCGGTCTGTGTGTTACCGTTGCTGTTCTTCTACAGACCATCTTGCAAAAAACTGCACTGTAGAAGTTCAGTGCAAAGAGTGTGGTAGTGACCGTCATCCTTCGGCCCTTCATCCCGGTCCTGCCCCCTGGAAATGTCAGGCATCTACACCTACCTCACAGCATGGCGGGGAGAATTACAAATCAGATAGTCATGAGGTTACATCGGAGTGCACGGAAGTCTGCGGAGAAGGTCTGAGTGCACGGTCTTGCTCAAAAATGTGTCTAGTTTCCATCTATCCAGCTGGACACAAAGAGAAAGCAAAGAGGATGTATGCTATCCTAGATGAACAAAGCAACCGCTCTTTAGTGAGAAAAGATTTCTTTGACATCTTTAACATCAAAACAGCTGCATTCCCCTACACACTGAAAACATGTGCTGGCCTTTTAGAGACAGCAGGGAGACGAATTTCTGATTTCATTGTGGAGTCCATTGATGGAAAGATAAGTCTACCTCTCCCTACTCTTCTAGAATGTAATCAGATTCCAAACAATCGTTCAGAGATTCCAACTCCTGGTGCAGCGTTCCATCACAGCCACTTGAGACACATTGCACAAGAAATACCACCTCTGGACGTTAATTCACAATGGCAACAACCTCTAGAAACCACACCTGAGGACTCCATACTGTTAGTCCCTGATGGTGAAAGTGTCGGTCATTCAGTTTTCTCATACACTGCAAATGATCATAAGATTGCTCCATCTGTGGAAGACACAAGGTTTCTTCAGATCATGGACAAAGAGGTTTTTCAAGACAGCTGCAATAGTTGGGTTGCTCCGCTACCCTTTCGTGAGCCCAGACAAAGTCTACCCAACAACAAAGACTATGCATTCAAACGTCTTCTTGCGCTGCGACACACTCTAAACAAACGACCACAGATGAAAGCACACTTCTTGGAATTTATGGATAACCTGCTAAAAAATGAGCATGCAG